CCGACGAAATCCTTAAGGTTCCCCAATCAACAGCTTAGATATTGTTTGTCCTTTTCTTTAAACTCAAGACATTCAATTTCAGCATCCAATACAATAGAGTTTTTAACACTTACCAACAACGGAAAGTTTAATGAAATGAATACTTAACTATGAAAAAATATTAACCAATATCCAATTCAATACTTTGAAGGAGCATAATAATATGAACGAGTGCAAAGAAAACAGTATAAGGCCTCTCCACCATTCAATTTAAACTGCGGCGGCCACATGCAAAATTAATTGGAATAAGAAAGAATTCATATTATACGAAAGTACAAAATTAAATAAGTATAAACCTTTAAAAAAATGCTGTTTAATAATGTAAGTTTGTATATTTTTCTCTTTTTAAAAGTTTACTAACTAATATTCAAATAAACATTTCTCAAAGTTGGACCTGAGGAGAAATTATTATTAGAAATTCAAGATCCATTCTAATCAACTCCAAAACATTAGGATCTGGAAATCTATATCCCAAACATCAGATTAAATTCAAGAATTTGATCTAAATACTCTAATTTGTTAGAATATCTGGTATATATCAAATCCTAACTGTCACATTACATTCACGTAAAAGAAATGGATAATGATAAAATTATTTTTTTTTTCAAATTTTCATTATAAATTTAATATGTATATGTTATAAATATTCTATATTTTTAAAATTGATATTTTCACAATAAATATACTTGAAAGAGAAAATATATTCAGCAATATTATAATTGATTGTCTTTGTAATAATTCTAACTTTAACTAGATTTATTCTACCCATTCAAAATCTCTGTTGTGCCATTTCACAACCAGAATACTACCAACTTGCTAGAAATGTGTATTAGAGATCGATCAAGAGAATAATTGTGTATTCAGTCGATCAAGAGAGTAGGTGTGTATTTGATCGTTTGAGAAAGTAGGTGTGTATTTGATCAATCGAGAATAGTAATTGCAGTTGTGTATTTCGATCCAAATAAAGCAATGAAAATTTAAAGATTATGGTTTGACAGAGAGCCAGAAGAGGAGCATATTTTTATTTTCATTTATTTAGAAGTGACTACTCGAAAATGAAAAAAATATAACAATAAGGTTAAAAACCAAATAAGTTTCATGGCATCAAGAAACAACAAATTATAAACATAGGTGAAACAAAAAAGTGATTGCAATCAAAACCACATGGTGACAAAAATCTTCTAAAATGTACAAAAGCAGGGCAAATAGTTTTTGATTACATTTAAAACATTTATAAAAGATCACAGTAAAGTATACCACACGATTATAATTCAGGTTGCATATGAAACAATGCAAACCATGCGATCAATTAATGAAAAAATCACAACTAATCATATCATGCAATCATAATCCATTTTGCATACTAAACCGATAAACAGGCCGCTGATAATTTTAAAATGAAATCAACAAAAATAAAAACGAAAGTTGCCACATTATATCAAAAACAAGTTAAGGAGGCTAATAACATTATTTTGAAACTTATTGTGAGCATATTATGTCAGATTTTCAATGATAAGATCTATTTTCATCAAGTAGAAATATTGTTTTGAATATTTTAAGTAAACTGAATTTTTTCTGAATTTTTTTTTTCAGAATCAAAGTGAAACTACTTTCCCATACCAAAGTGAAAGTATTTTCCAGAATCAATCTAGATACCTACACATTTAGAGTTGGTAAACATAACTAGGGAGTCAGGGTTAAGAGTTGGTATTTAGATTTAGGTATATAAAAACAGTTTTTTTTCAGAATTGAACTTGGAGGTTAGGGATGCAAACCATGCTGGATTGGTATAGATAACCACACATGGGTGGCTCGTACCAAGTTTGAGCGGTGCAATGGCTTCCGTGCAGCAAGCCCTCCCTGCCCAACCGGTTGATGATGACCATGCTTTTTTTTTCGTCTTCATCATCTTCTTTGTCTTCTCATCTCTCTCCTAATTTTCCACACACATTAGATAGACATTAGAGTCTCAGTTGTTGATAAAAAACAGGATGAGAAATTTGGCTCTCCATTATTGGTATATCCACTGCAAGTTGTAGGTAAGGGGCAAAAGAGACGTGTTCTGAAGATACTGGTTTTGTCACCAAGATATCGATGCCGGGAAAACGTTGATGCATCACACATATGCTATCATCGTATGGTGACAGCACATCGTCTTTACACCCAGTAGGGTGAGAACATACGACGCTGATTCTTGAGTGAAGTTGAAGGAGACAATGGATAACACTTCATGTGTCCACACAACCCAAAACATGTTACCTTTCATTGACAAACCTTGCGATCCTGAATTCTCAAATTGCCATCCCAACGGTGCATTATTCAATCTTCTCCAATTCTTAGCTTCAATATCAAAGACCTCAGCCCTAATTTCATCTGTCTCCTCCTCTTCTTCATCCACTGTTTGACAAATTCTGACAATCTGGATATACTGACGCGCCTTGTACCCAATACAACAATAACATTAACTTTCCATGAGAGGTCAGGATCTGGAATCCATCTTGATTGCCTCCTAAAGGGGTTCTAGAGGAAAAGTCTGTCTGAGGAATGATCAATAGGATTGACTATTATAGAGTAGGTCTTTTGTTCTAAAAATCTTGGTGAAGACAGATATAGGTGGCAGGAAATCAGCTTTTCAGAAAGGATCCAATAGTCCCATTTAAAACATACTGTTCGAAGTTTCATGAAAGACTCAAATGGAAATCTCGCTACGATCTCAGCCATGAGTAAATCCATAGGAATCTGTGATGCAGCTGAATGGCACTCTCTTGCTTCATGTGCAGATAAAACTCTGTAAAGCCCAGATAGCTTGGTGTGAAGTGTGCAAACCCATGAATAAAGGTGGTCTTGGAATACGACCTCTTAAGGAGGTAAACACAGTTATCTGTTTGAAGTTAGTATGGCGAATTGCATCATCTCATCCTTCACTATATATAGGTGAATTGGATCAAGACTTACCTGATTAGACAAGGCTCCTTCTGGTATGTGAACTTTACTACAAGTTTAGGATGTTGGATGTGGAAATGATCCTAAAGAATAGGGACAAGGCGAAACAATTCATTAAAGTAGTAGTAGGTACCAGAGAGTGCACATCTTTCTGGTTCAAAGCTTGATCTTTTATGGGCCGTCTTATTGATATTGCAGGACCGAGCAATACCACTTCACTGTACAGTGGCACAAACAATGGCTAATCGCCGCAGACACAACCATAGGAATGATCTCTTAAACCAAATGGAGGCAAAGCTTGATGAGCTTAGAGTAAGGCAGATAACAAACCAGGAAGATGTTCCTCTTTGGAGAAGCCACGATGAGACTTTTAAGAGGGGTTTTAATTCAAAGAAGACATGGTCCTTGACCCGGGAAGTAAGTCCGCAGCAGGCTTGGTACTGTGGGATTTGGTTCAAGTACTCTACTCCGAAGTATTTCTTCATAGTTTGGTTGGCGGTCCACAATCGCTTATCGACGGGAGATCGTATGGTTTCATGGAACACGGGTGCAATTACAGCTTGTAGCTTAAGCCACGATCCCATGGAGATTCGAGACCATCTGTTTTTCAGGTGCCGATACTCTAATGTGGTATGAAGTCATTATGTGGAAGGCTCTTTGCTCAACGTTTTACATCAGATTGGTCGGAAATCATTCCCATCATCATTGCCTCTTCAAGTGATGCTGTCAAAGATTTTCTGATTAGGTATGTATTCCAAGCAGCTGTTCATAGCCTCTGAAAGGAAAGGAACCCACGTACGCATGGCCAAGATCCTATAGCACCAGCTCGACTTGTTAAAATCATCGACAAACAGATTCGTAATCGCATCTCTACAATTTAGGAAAAAAAAGATGCCAAATTTGAGACTGCTCTCCAAATTTTGTTTGAAGTACAAACATAAGAAAATTTTGATGTATTTTTCAACTTTTAAGCTAAAAAAACAGCTGCACTTGATCTAAACAATTTTTTTTTTTGGTTTTGAATAAATTTTACATTCAATTAAAAAAAAAACTCTATTCTCGGTCTTTTTGATTCATCAGGTCCCTCGTCATCAACCTCTAGTGTCAGCTGCTTTATTTAGATAAGGATACCATCCTTTTCTTATTTTATCAAACTGATGACATTCTTTGTCAAAAGACCTAGAGAACTATCATACAGACAAGTACCAGCCTGCGCAAAGTTATTTCCAAAAGAACCTGCATTAGAACCATTGCCTTCTAGTTTTATTAGACTTCACTGACCTAGATGATATTTTGGCCCTCTGTCTTTTCCCTAATACAAGTATTCAATTCATTGGACTCATCTATCTGGTTTACCAAATCTGTTTTGCGCTTCAGAACAGATTCTAAATTTTTTTATTTATTTAACTTTTTATTAAATATATTAATTATATATATCCGCAAATGTCATACTGTTCTGAATTATCAATAACAAAAATTCAATAATCTGAAATTTATTTATTCGAATCCTTAAAGAGACATATTAGATCTTCATGTCTAGATTTCGATCTTAGTCTCTTAATACTCCTATTGGTAAAACTATGTTTTCAAATTTTCATTATCAACAACATTTAAATTTAAATTTTCAGATATGTTAAGAGTAATCTCTGCTCAAAATTGAGAGGTTCACAATAGATATACCTTATAAAAATATTTTAAGCAATACTAACATCCTATTAAACATCTTGTTCGACAATTTTTGAAGTTTATTAAGACATATTTTTATCAAGCAGAGTTTTTTTTTTAAGAAATCAAAATTGAATAGTATTTTGATTTTTATTTATTTTATATTTTTTATTAATAAATATACTTACTTGAATCCAAAAAGAAGAAACCAACTTTGGGAAGCAGAGAAGTGTACTACGTGTCACGTAGGTATTAGTTGTTTGGTCAATTTTCCCAGACGTCCGTGTTACGGTAAGATTTTCTCTTCACAACAAGCAGGTCCACATGTACAATCTCTCTCTCTCTCTCTCTCTCTCTCTCTCCCTCGTCTCTTCACTTTCTCTCTTCTCTTTCTCGTCTCTCTCTCGTCTTCTGGTTAAATTCTCTCTCGGAGGTGACCGTTTCTTCACTCCAAAATCGAAGCGAGGAGATTCACTGGTAAGTTGATGATGACTCGTCTCTCTCTCATTTCGTGTTTCCCCTTTCAAGTTAGGTTTTATTTGAATATAATGGCGGATTTTCAGGGGTTTTCTTCTTTTAATTGTCTCCTTTTCTTTCTTTTTTTCTCTCTGTGGAACTGAAATAAGCTCTTTAGGTTTCGATCTCGATCGGATTTGTGTTCTCCTGGAAAATGTTTTTCTGGATCTTCGTTTAATTGGGATCGGATTCTAGGTTTGTCTTACTGTTTTCGAGCGTCGATTACGGAAAAACGGATCATAAATGTGAGATTTAGGGTTCATATTCATTTTTTTTGTGCGTTAAATCGATTTATGTCGAGGAAAATCTGTGTGGGATATGATCGGGAATATCTGGATTTTCTTTCGCCTATTTGTTCTGCAACCAAGCATAGAGTCGGTGACTTGTTTCTGCGCAACTTTGCTAAGAATTTTATGTGTTTTTTTCGATTGTTGATTTGAGAGATTAAATATGCTCTGTTTCATTCGGTTTCTCAATGACTTAAAGTCAATTTTTCGTCATCTTGAAATAAACGAGGCTGCAAATCATCTGTTTGATTATCTGAATGTTGATCTTTTTTGGTATTCAAGGTGCATGTTTGGATCCGAGTTTTAAGCTCGAGGAGGTCACAATTCACTGCAAAGAGAAGGAATCTTTATTAGTGGAAAAAATGTTCTTGGACGATGATAAACATATGATTCCAATGCGACGTGGAATCAAGGATGGTGGTCAGATGAAATATCTGAGGTATGGAAACTGATGAGCACCATATCGAAATTTTGGGAGATGATCTATCTATCTGGAGAAGACCCACCTTTGTGTATATTTTCGTAGATAATTAGGCTTTTTGGCTGATACAGTTAAAAAAAAAAGGGGTGTGTTAGCGATTGATCTAATGGCTATTGCTGGCCTACAAAACATTTTGGCGATCGATTCATCTTTCCCCCGAGACTCTGAGGTTCGAGCATCTAGACAAAGGGAAAATGAAGGAAGGCCAAGCGTCCGGGCATCCTCACTCCTACAAATGTGGAGGGAGCTTGAGGATGACCATGTGACGGGTCATGCTCCTCGGGAGAGAGATATTGAGAGAAGGAGTGGTTCTTCTACTTCTAATGCTTTGAGGGGGAATGGTTATGACAATAATATTAGCGCACATGATATTGGTATAGATAGTGTAAATTTGGGTGAGAATGAACTTGGTGGATGGTCACCTACCCCGAGTCATGTTGGGTCGCATAACTCGAGTGAGGATCAGAACGAGCACTCTTCAGATCTGGGGATGGTTGAAAGGGAAAGAGTTAGACAAATTTTTCGTGAGTGGATGAGTTCTGGGATAGGTGAACATACAGCTTCTTCTGCTTCCCCCACTACTAACAGCTCAAGAGCAGAATGGCTAGGTGAAACTGAACAGGAAAGGGTGAGGATCATAAGGGAGATGGTTCAGATGAATAGCCAGCAGAGACCTGTTGTTGGTGATCTCAGGGAAGAACAGCCTGTTGAAGTTGGTAACCAGATTGAAAGAGTACTCGATGGAAGGGTTGTTAATGCGAACTGTATACAGACTGAACATGCTAGAAGAGGCATACGCAAGTTATGTGGTAGGCAGGTGTTGGTGGATATGTTAAAAATGGCTGAGAGGGAAAGGCAAAGAGAGCTACAGGGTTTGATGCAGCATCATGCTGTGTCCAACTTTGCTCATCGCAACCGCATTCAGGTTTGTTCATGAGAATATTTTTTTTTACTGTTTCTGATACATGTCCCTGTGACATTGAATTTGTTCTTTTTAAGTGACTATTGCCAAGTATGCAAAAATAACCTCTGCTATATTGTCCAAGACCACTTTTCAGATACACTTACAGTCTACTCAGTTTTTCAATGTTATCTTAAAGTCGACCTTTCCCACTTCAATTTTGCACTCTTGCGTATTCGGAACAAATGTTTCAACAATAATTAGCACTAGTTCGATATACAACTTTTTATCCTTTGTCTCAGACGAACGATGATTGATAGATGAGTAGTCACTTTGTTTTTTAAAAATGATTTTATGAAATGCATAAACTGATGGAGGATGGCAACATACTTGAGGGAGTCTATGATTCGCCACTTTTTCTGTCTATAGACCTTTCATTCCCTTTTGGTATTTATATTTTTTGTTTGAAGTGATTCTGACATGACGTTTTTTGCAATAGAAGTTGATAAATATGCTGGAGCACTTCTTAGTTACTTCTTTATATTTCCTTATCTATATTTTTGTGTATTAACAAGTCAGCTTAAGATTGTTTGATGGCAATAGAAGGAGTTGAGAGTTGTATCTGTCTCAACTCTATCTTTTGGATTTCAGCTGGCTTGAACAATGTTCTTTAATTGCTTTTGCAGGCATTGCTGAGGGGGAGATTCTTGCGAAATGGTGTCAAGGATGATAAAGAGAAACCAACATCATCTGCAGCTACTGAGTTGGGCTTTCTAAGAGAAAGGCACACTGTATCTGAGCTGAGGTAACTAATTCTTCTGTATTAATCAATTCATTCATATCTCTTGTGTATTTCTGGAAGTATTATTTTGTGCCCTTTCATAAATTTTTGTAAGTGGTTAAATATCCTATGATGACATATACATTAAGACCTTTAGGATCTTCATATATTAACCGATCTGGTAAATGTTGGGGAGCTTCCAGTTTTTGTCATCTTGAAGTCAAATGCCAAGCCCATCTTGTCTATATATCAGTTTCTGTGTCATCATATATGTGCAGCTCAACTCAGAAAATGAGACTTCTGCTGCGTTAAGTGGAATAAGAACGTGATTGCTTGTGTATTTTTCCATGCCAGGGAGGAATTTATATCCAGACTGGACCGGTCTGCCTCTGGTCAAGCGAGCAGTAGTCACTCGGATACCTCATCAAATGCTGAAACTGATGATAGTAGAGGTGAACAAAACGATTTAAATCGTCTAGATAGCATCAATGATGCAGACGTTGGTTCAGATCAAAATGGCAGAGAAGCTGACAACCAAAGTTCGCTGGATGAGTTAACTAATTCTAGATGCTATACTAATCGGATCACAAGTTTGGAAGAAAGGACCGCACGTGTAGAAGGCTGGCAGGGGCAACTTTCTGAGAATATCCAACGTGGATGGCAACAATCGGAAAATGATGAATTTTCACAAAGAAGAAACGATGCTGAAGCAGATCAGAATAGCCATCAAAGGGAGGATGCTACTGGGTGTTCATCCTCTTCAATTCGAGGAGACGAGAACAGACAAGGCAGTCGTTTACAAGAGACTCTCGAGATATCTTATGAACAGTCTCTGCAAAGTCCCGAAGAAATTGCGAACATGAGACCGATCAACAGGACAGCAAACTTCCAGGAGCATCTGCCTGAGAGAAACAATCTGTCTGTCTCCCTAGAGGAACAAACCGAGGAGGAGATTCTCGAAAACGAAGAATCCGATTGGCAACTTATAAATGGTGGAACCAGTGAATGGAGAGATGACGCTGAAGAGGACGCAGATACAGACATTCCTGAGACTTTTCCAAATCAGTTGTCCCAGATATCATCTGTGGACGACGACGAAGAAGCCGCCCGTGGTCTCCTAGAACTAACAGAGATGCAGCCTGATGACTCTGATCTTCAAAGCACACTACAAGACTGGTCGGAAGGACATTCTGATCAGGGCACGGTCTCAATTGGAAGGGCTGCCACATTCTTTCCTCCGGATGATGATAATGAGAACATGGAACTCAGAGAACTCTCGAGCAGGTAAGAATCGAGTAATATTTCTGCCGTAATAATGGCCACACTTTTCAATCTGAATATATGTATCTGATGATTACTGTTCGCGACACAGGAGACGTGTCTCAAATCTTCTGCAAAGCGGGTTTCGGGAAAATCTTGACCAATTAATACAATCTTACATGGACAGACGAAGCCGAAATCCTGTCGAATGGGAAGAACATGAGTCATTTCCTGACACTGCATTACAAGGTGAACATACAGAACAGCAGGATGATACTCATAGTGGTGGTGGTCATGAACTTGATACTGTTGAATCTCCTGCTTTGTCTCTACCTTCCCCAGTGATTCCTGTTCAGCCATTCTGGGACCATGATCGATCCAGTTCAAACTGGCCGGCACATGATATGCATCAGCGCGTTGGAATGGTAAGACTATAGTGGATCCCAAAAGCAATTGTCAATCCGAAGAAACTCATTTGTTGACTTATGATACTGATTGCTATTATTTTTGTTAACTCTGCAGGATTGGGACTCGATCAACGATTTGAGGGTCGACATGGGGAGAATACAGCAGAGGATGGATAACTTGCAGAGGATGCTTGAGGCTTGCATGGAGATGCAACTCGAGTTACAACGGTCCATAAGACAAGAGGTCTCTGCCGCGATGCACCGCTCTGGCGACTCATCAGGTTTACTATCCGTCTCGAGTCACTTTTTGGTTCTTACATATGATAGATTATCAGTGCACAAACATGTATAATGTTATGACGGTTAATCAATTCACAGGACCATCCAAGGACACTGAGAGCTACGAGTCAAAATGGGAATATGTAAGGAAAGGAATCTGCTGCATATGCTGCGAGAGCAACATTGATTCTTTATTGTATAGGTATGGGACCATGAGAACACAATATCATCTTTTTTTGTAAACATCTGATCCCCAATTGATAATTGTCTTTTTTTTTTTCTTGTTTCGTTCCAGATGTGGACATATGAACACCTGCGAGACGTGTGCGAAGAAGTTAGTGGAAGCTGGAGGAAAATGTCCCATGTGTCAAGCACCTGTTATTGAGGTGGTTCATGCTTACTCCATTCTCTGAACTCTCTCATTCTTTAACTCTCTCTCGGTACTTGCCCTTTTGCTCCAAGCTCTGCTTCACAGATTGCTTATTGGGAAGAATCTGGGTTTTAACTATTGTGATTTTATATCAGTAGATATTACTCTGATTCCGTCGGAATTTTATCCGTGGTGTAAGCAACACAATAACACACTTTTTAACTATTTTTATACACATGAAATATCAAAAAGATTCAATAGAAGAAAGTGGTGACAGTATTTGAAACTAGCTACGCATGTTTTGTGCAACATTTTCGGATAACTCAAAGAAATGAGTGTAAATAAAACATTAAAAGTTATTATTTCAACACAATCATCCCAAATAATTTGACTCAAATTTTATCATATACCATTACTAGTCGATTTCATTTTACTGTTTTCTTCAAAGCTGTCAAAAAGGGTTTGTTTTTTTGTCTCTCCGGTTCAAAATCTTTCGGAGAGAAGATTATTCATTAAATTATAGATAAGAAAATCTGAAAAACTCCCACGATTGAAAAAAAACACACGCACCCACAAAAAACTTATCAAATAAAAAATAAAAATAAAAAGAGAGAAAAAATGAACCGATATAACTCACACATGTCAGAGGCTCAACGACCGGTCCAGACCAGTTCTCTGACCCAAACTCGAACAGCTACTACACCTCCTCATACAAGGGCCCACACCACCATCACACGTGTCATGATCTCCCACCGTCGATCTGCAGCTGCTCCCTACGGAGCCCTGATCCGGTAACACCTGGCTGCTCCGGCAGAAAGGGCAAGATACGTGTGAGCTAAGCCACGTGTCAACGCAATCCACGTGGAACACGTGACCACAATGCGGTAACACCTTAACTGTTTCACCTTCTTCGAAGTCACTCAAGCAGATAACGCAATCTTCGATCCTCTGCTTCGCTTCTGTCGTATAACGGTACACCGGCAGTGATCTAACGGCTTGAGAATCAAGTCCTCTCCTCCCACGTGGCGGCGACAATCTTCTTCTGTGGATGGAAGAAGAAATATTATCAGCCGTTGGATCGTCGTCGTCGTTGTCGTCGTCGTCGTTGTCGTCGTCGGCGAAGTGACGGATGAAGACGGAGAAGAAAGCCATGAAGAAGAGAGCAATCAAGAGGACGAATAAAGTGAGAGCTACGGAGGAGTCGAGTGACGAAGAAGGTGACGATGATGACGTAGACGATGATGAAGATGGTGATGCTGACGTGGCATTTTGGAGGGTTGTTCGGTCACCAACACGGGCTTGGTTAAGCGGGAGGAGCTTGCGCATGTGTTTCTTGCTCTCCATTACTGAAGCTGAAACTTGAGAGAATCCTTAACTTGCAGAAAGTGAACTGTGTTTGGTGACAACGACGACGTATAATATATGTCATATTTTAATCCTCAAATTGTGTGAAAAGATATAAAATAAATTTACATATTTGCTAAAAAGCCTAAAAATGATATCATTGTAGGCTATATTTGCTATATATGGGTATTTGTAATTACGGAGATAGGTTTTGTTTGTTTGTACATGTATATGTTATCATATCATACACTAATGTCACATGATATCAAAGGAAAGCTTATTCATATTCTAAAAGAGCTTACTAAGATATGAAACAAGATTGAAATAGAAATAACTTATCATGAGTTTTATATATTTAAATACAGACTAGAAAAGAAAGGAATAAGTTTAAGTTGCCTCCAAGAGTAAAATGGTTTTGAGATCTGATATTTGAAAAAGAGGGAGAAAAAAAAGTAGTTTTGAGGTAACTCTCCGAATGAAATTTTTTTCATTGCTTAGTAGCGTGAATATGTTATTTGAAAACATATGTTGGAAACCCTAAACACATAGGCCTTCTTACACTATTCTGACTTCTTGTGGATTTGGGCTTTACTTCTCTTAATAACGTCGTGTTTTTAATATATACTCTGTATCTATGAAAATGACACCATATCGTTCCAACAAATATGGCCGGTCTAATCTGAGTTATTCGGTGTATAGTATGGCACGCATGGTTTGAATTTATGAAAGAAAAATGAAAATAACTTGAGAAATAATTGTATGTCTCTAAATAAAGAACATGTTGTTTAATCAAAACAACAAGCATAGATAGAATGTTATATAGGTGAATATATTACATAATCAGCATTGTTTTCTATGTGGTTCACATGAAATCTTGTGGTGTTGAAATCCTTAGTGGGTTTTGACATAATGGTTGAAGCTGGGCGTCTAGTTGTAAAGCATGTGGCTTTTCTCTTGATCAAAACCATTGTCTTGCTCTTGCAGATGATATTCTTGCTGATATGGAGCTAGTACGTGTCATTTGGTTTATCTTGTTGTCACTCGTCTAAACATTTGTTTACAGTGTTTATGTTCTCTCTCGACTCATGCAACATCCTCGTGATCAAGAGCATTGGAATGCCGCGCATTGTATCCTTTGATATTTAAAGACTCGTTTTGGTCAAGTGCTACTATTACAAACTGATTGCATACTACATATCTCTGGCTGGTGTGATTCTAATTAGGGGCTGTCATACTTGAGTACTTCAAATTCACTTGTCATGCCCAATGACAGTTTACTATGATAGTCAAACAACTATTCATATTAGCTTAAACTTCATGTTTCATGAACATACTAAACATATCGAAGTAGATTGTTATTTTGTAATCGATAAAATTGTCAATGACATTATTGCACCTACACACGTATCCACGCATGTTCAATATTATGTTAGATTTCTTTATATATGCAAATTCTTATATTATGTTTAGATTTTGATGTCAGTGTACAGTGGTCTATCAAGATTTGTTTTGCCTATAAACAAATCAAACAATCTTTTTTTTTTTGTCGTTGAATATCAAATTCAATAGACCATTTAATTGGTTTTAAGTTTTTACTCAACTCAAGAGTTGTTGCGATTCACATTGCATAAAAAGTTAAAATATAAAGACTACATTATCACAATTAGAAAGAAAAAAAATTAAGACTGAATAACTGACAATATATATAACAAATTTACAACCTTTTTGGGTTCAGCTATTTTAATAATAATGTTGTTTGTAATATGAGATTCAATGAATTTTGAAAGAACAAGAAATGTGGTTCACATACTTTCTTGAGTCTTCTGTTAAAGTTATACCTTTGTTCCTTCACGAATTACAGGTTTCTTGAGCTTTCGGCAATCCTACGAACCACTTTTCCACATTGGCTCTCTTAGGATGAACCATTATTATTCAAAATTAAAACATAGTCCACTTCGATGTTATTTTCTTTTTGTTTCTCAGGTATTTGGAGTCATTCATTGGGAAAGTTTTCAAAAACATCCCCAATTTATGCCTTGGGTCATATAAATCCCCAAAAAATCCTCAAATTACTTGTTTTTTGGGCTAAAATTTTGTAATAGTTGTTAAACCAAAGCTTACAATTGAGAAAATAAAATAAAAAATCCATTCCAATACATGCTTTGTACCTTTTGGTTTGGTTTGACTGGTCGTTCTTGCAAAATTCTCTGAAAAGATGCAGACACTAATTAAGTCCACATCTTTCTTACACAGCCTCCAATGAAAAGGATTCAGGTGCAATGTTAGTTAAACCAGAAGGAGAGTCAAAACAAGTATAAATTATGCGGTTAACAGTACCTTGCTGCTTGGAGTATATAATGGCAGTTGATTAAGGCCCATTTTGGTCACAATTTTCTCCATTTTGTTAGAGTACGTAGAACCACCTGAGATAACATATGAGAGTTAAAGGCGTAGACTGCTTCAACAAAGTCAGCTGCCTTAGTGGGTGGAGAAGAGATTATAATGGTGTCTGATACATAGGCTGAAGCAAGCTCCAATGATTAATCCACTAGTGGATCGTAAACATGGATGTTTACTTGTGAATCTGTGGTTACAACAGTGTAAGCGAGAGTTATTCCGAACTTGTTATGAGAGCTATTTTTGAGCTTGTTACAGCCCCTTCTATAGCTGAAACAGCTCTAGCATCACCATGTGACTTTTGTTTGATGGTTGTAGAAGACATCTCGAGTCCTTAAATCCAAATCTATCACATATATTTAGAATGGAATTCAAGAGTATTCTATATCAACTGAGACAATAACTTTCTTGTCCCTAACCGCAATCCTATGAGAGAAACCTATATCTAACTATACTTCAACTAATATCTTAACCTCTCCCATCAAAGATTGGATCTAACCTCGGCTTTTCAGTGAGCACCGGTTCCCCTAGCCCTAAAGCTATCCAACTAATCCCCAAATGTGAATACAAACTCTGTGGGATATTTTTTTTAGAGTAACCCAAACAAGGACTAAAGTGATTTCAGGTAGCATCATTTATGTATTTAGATATATAGTAAATGATGTTTTGATCTATGAAAAAAGTAGAATTTTTTTTTAATTTGCGTACAAAAACTTTAAACATCAATTATTTTGAAAAGGGGAGTATATTAATATGTAGATTGTGAGAAGACATTTATGCAATACATATATATATATAGATAGTTAAGAAAATATATATTTATTCAAATAAGTGAAAGTTTCCTTTCTTTTTTAAGTAACTGTACCTTTCGAATACCTAACGCCTACAACAAACTATTTGAATTATACTGCACCTTAGAACATTAATGCCGAAAACAAGAAGAGAAACATTTCATGTGTCTATACAAAACATATACACATTCATGTCCCTCACAAATATTTAAATATACAATTATTGAGCTCTAAACCCCACAAATACTAACTCTTATATAAAACACAGAAACTTAACAATTTTTTCAGCCTAAAGACTAATTTAAATATTCAGGAATTAGCCATATAGTGACAGGTAACTTCAAACCACCACATTGATTAGTAACTTGATTATCATAAGTCGGAAATATAATACACAAATATCTCCACCGACATTCTCGTATCGAATAGTGTAGCTAGCATAGTAGTTTGGCCTAATTTTCATGTTATTCCTTTCTTTAGCAATGAGTTGTCTGGTTTTAAATCTTAATCTTTTTGTATAATTTGCTTTAAAGTAGAGATTAAGGATAATTTAAAAGTTGATTAGTATATAAAATTCACTCCATCCTAGTCTCCTACTCATGAATATGGTATAAAAGGTTTTTTTTTGACAAGTAAAGTAATGTTGACAAGAAAAGAGAGGGAAGTTACGATTTTCTTCTATACAAATTGTTGTTTCCATGTGAGATGACTGTGAGAAGTGAGCTGGAGCATTGTACAAATTGGGAATATATAAATACACCCACCAAATACGCATATATTATGCTAATTTGGGTGGACCATTAAATTGGTTAAATTAAATTAAAAGAAAGTTATTTTTTCTTGTTTCTTGAAAAAGATTGATTAAATTATGAAGCAAAAGGAGCTCTATGAGGAATGCCTTTTCGTCGCCTAGAATTAGAAGTATGAGTTGGAGTATGCGTGCCTTTGTGCGTTTCTTGTTGTCTTTCTTTACGCAATCTCTCTTCTTCCTCTTCCTTATTCTTCCTCATTCCTTCAACCTGACATATTCACGAATCACTTTCAAACATTTCCCTTATTCATCTAACCTCGTATATACATTTTCTTGAGCTACATTGTATACATGCTTTAAATTCCAACATAACCTATCAATTTACCATACAAAGTAATTAAAATTTATATCATATCTTACTTTTTAACGCGATAAGTAAAATCCGAAACATTAGTAATAATGATGTAAATATACATTTTTTTAGACGCATTGTCTACATATGCTTGAAATTCCAACATAACCTATCATCTACCATACAAATTAATTAGTTAAACATTACATCCTATTTTTATTTCTCCACGCGACAAATAAAATCCAAAACATTGATAATAATGAAGAAAATATACATTAATTAATAACCAATCGAGTATCCTTATATTGGTTAACCCAAGATTAGCCTCTATATAGACACATTGAATGAAAACTCTGCATTAAGAACAAGAGTGTAGGGTAAACAGACCTTGCAACCCAAGGAACAGAAGCGGAAGGGATCAAGAAGGGTTCTGCAACATGTCTCGCAGAAGTAAGAGACGGTTTTGGCGGTGGAGGACACGACGCCATGAGAGGAATTCTTAGGCTGAGGTCTCTCGTTTAAGAAAAGAACCCTCGCACTATTGATGACATAAGTCTGCACTCCTCTTATGTCCAATACATTCTCTATCTCCGATACTCTCACCACATCATGATACGACGATCTTCTTATCTGTATAGATCCATTGTAAGCTCAATGGCATGAAAGAAAGAATTGTAGTTTTTTTTTCAAAACTAAACCAATGTAGTATATAGGTATTATATGTGGTGAACCTGAAGGACGGGATGGTCAATGTGGTGGGAGGAGCGGCAGTAGAAACAAAACGCAGCGTTTTGACAAGAGAGGCAGAACATGTTGCACTCATTTCGTGGTGTCTCGCGGTGTAGAGGGCAAATTTTGAAGAAGTTTGTTCTTAAGAGACCTCCCAACCATTTTGGCTCCTCCATTTATGTCTACTATGTATATAAAAACAAAAAACAAAACAAAACAAAACCATTAGAACACTATAAGAAAATGGGAAGATCGAGACCAAATTTTATGAACAATGTAATAACTAGCGTAGATCATATATTTACTCTTCGCCATTTGCATTACCTTTATGAAGATGATCAGGAGAGAGAGAATGAGGGAGAGAGAGAGAGCAGGAAAAAATATCAGATTTTAAGGGTAAGAGAGAAGAGAAGATATCAGTTTATTTTATTGTTGGGAAATGAAGATTTTAGCTTATTTCTTCTTATTTAGGCGTGCTAGATATTATGAATCTTTTTAATTAATTTTAAAAGGAATAGTTATTGGCAAGAAGAGGGAAAGGTTTTATCAAAAAAAAAAAGAAGAGGGAAAGGATAGAGATGATGTTAGGTTGAGGTTGATTTCAAGCCGTTGGATTGGGACATTGTGATATGAGTTCGACAACATTTCAAACTGGAGTTTTGCAATAACTACAATTTTAATATATGCTTATTTAATATTAAAAAAATTATAATGACATTACTGAAAATTTACTAGCTAAATTATAATCTTAATTGCATTTCTCTAAATACGACAAAAAAAATTGCATTTCTCTAAAAAGGCTGGATGGATGCTCCGTGTGGGCCTTTCTTCGTGGGCCTTTCATATATGTTCAAACTCTAGCCTTGGGCTGAAAGTTGAAACGGATCAATCGGCAATTCTTACTATGAGCTCGAGTGTGACCTCAATATTTTTTGTTTACATTTAGGCTTGAGCAAAAATATTTTGTGAAATACTACTTTGACGTTCCCAAGAACGTCTATATTTGTTTTATCACTTTCATTTCAGAACAATCTTTTTGTTTATTTTTCTATTTTTTAATATTTTGTATATTTTATTGAAGTTTTTTAAAATAATTAAAAAAATTCTTATACAATTTATCTTATTTTATATTCAAATTTATTTCAATTTCAAAAATATACTTTACATAAAAATAAAATAAATAAAATACTAAAACCATGTCATTTGCCACAGAAATTTTGTAACTAACTATGTAGCTACACATAATTTTCTCACGATTTTCCGTACTAGCTAATTTTTTTGTTTTGTTTTGGGGTAAAACCGTACTAGCTAGTTTATGAGCAGTTAGTAAATTGGCTGCATATTATCCGTCGCTAATTTAGTGGCAATGGCTATATTAATCGTTATAGATAGTAGACTTATAATTAAAAATAATTGGTGGCTAATTTGTGGCCAAATATTCCCAAAACATGACTAAATTGTAGTCGCATTACACTGATCCTAGCCAATCTATGTCCAACTGGTAACTGGCAACTACACGAAATGCATTCGTGTGGCTAGAGGGACTATTTGTGGCTATCAGGATCCTTCAAACATAATTTTTAGAGTTAGCCTCATTATGATGTCGGGGAAAAGGTCTCTTGAAAAGAAAATAAATTTGATTTCCGAATTAAGGAAATCCCATTACAAAAAGTTCTTCAACTATTTTTTTTTTGGATAATTTTTAATATGTAGTTGATGAAGTTAAATTCTTCAACTATTTAACTATTTCAATTAAGATCTACAAGTTAAATATACACGGACAAGTTTCCTCAGTTCGAAACTCGTACTCATCACCATACTTGTGTTTTACACCTTGAACTTAATAATGGTTGACAAAATTAATTAGAACGTTGTCGACTGTTAGCACAAAACAGTAAACTAAAAACTAAACGACGCTGCATGCATTTAAACGTCCACGGTCTCTAAGTTACTTAAGTGTAATTATTGATTAATCAAAAGAATGGGTGGGGGGGGGGGCGGGGGAAAGGGGG